ATGCAAGATTCGCTGGTACCTAGTTCGACTCGCTGGTACAAAGTTCGATTCGCTGGTGCAACGTTCGATTCGCTGGCGCAACGCTCGGATCGAGCGATTCGCTAGCGAATCGCTCGATTCGCAAACTATGACATCGGCCTATGAGCGAGGACCTAGGACGCGTTTATTCGTGGCGCCCGACATCATTCACTTTCAAGTGAACCCCTTGTGAGGGAGCATTCATAGTCGGTCGTCCGATCGTTACGATCGCAAGGATCATACAGCATTGGATGCGTATCGATCGTCAATCCTCGGACACGACTGACGATCGATACGCATTTAATGCTGTGCGATCATTACGATCGCAACGATCGATGACCGACTATAAATGCGCCTTAGGAGATTTTCAATGTTCTTTTCAAGGAAACCGCGTAAAGTTAGCAAATTCAGAGGCCTATTCGTGATGCACACGGCAAAAAAAAACAATTGAAATGAAATATCAAAAAAAAGAGTATTTTGAAACACACGACTCATGGCAAACAAGAAAAATTATACCGGATGCAATTCAGCTTTCACTGTCAAGATACGCTCTATCGAAAACATAAAAAACACCCGGTATTTTGAATCGTTTTGCTTTGGAATGGAATTCGAATCTTAAATTCAATAAGTACAACAATTACGATTTCTTTTCACTGCATCTGTTGGCAGATAGTAGTTCCCCTTAGAAAACTAGCGTTGGCTTTTCTTTGATTGAACTACACCTCCTTGCATGGATCTGAGTGAGATTTGCGGTCATGGGACCAGAGTCTGGGATCATCCCAAAAAAAAACCGGACAAACCGCTCCACAACGTTCACAACCACCAAGTCGGAGCAAAACAAATGAACACAACAACATGAACAATGAAAATAATATGAGAATAGAACTATAAGAAGTGATCAAAGCCCAAAACTATAGCGAAACAAGCGATCGAGTTTGTGTAGCAACGTTTTCTACGCACAGCCGTCAAGTTGAGCGTTCCCAGTGCATTTGCGGCAGGTTGGAGCATTTGACGCGCAGAGTGATGGGGAGTTTACGCTCTTCCGCTTCTGAATCTCTCGTACCCAGGATCTGAAAATAACAAAGCGCTCTGGATCGAGTTACACTTGGTTCGAGGGTCTTTCCGAACAAAGTGGGGGGTGCCCATTTTTCAGCTCGGGCGCCGGTACCATTTTTCTAGCTCTAGTTTTCTTTATTACAATTTCTGCGCCAACGAATTAACGTCGAAGGATTTGAAGGGCTGATCAAGAAGAGCTGAGCTGGTCTCTACAACTGGACCGTGTTACGGCTCTGAAGAAGGTAATGTCGCATTCGTACTTTTCAGAAAATCACGACCTCTCCCCATTAGGGAATCCCGATACGATTCCCCGCCCCCCCCCCCTTCCCTCCGTCACCACAATCATTTTTTGGAGGGGAGTAAATATAGCGGAATGGAATATCCCATAATTTTACCCACTTCATGCATCTTCAGCAGAAGGTGGTTCAAAATATCAACAACACACCATCAGAGTTGACCCGCTCTCCTACACCAAGAGCCTCTTCCCTCCACATCTACGGACCCCCATCCCTTCTCGAAGCATTTGAAGGAATGGTTGAACTTGATCAACTCCCAATGTAATCCCTGTCAAAATCGTAAACACAACCCCAGTTCGAACTGTCCGAACAAACGGTTGACCAGCAAAGCCGAACGTGGACACCCGTTGAGATTGAACTAGCAGTCCGTGCAGGTGCGCCAATAGCGAATTTACCTACGTTACCATGTCATTGCGGACAATATAGAGGAAACGTTAGAAGGAAAAAAATGGTGCTCAGTCAACCATGGTCGTTGTTCCACAATGCCTTAACAGGGAGTGAGGAGCGTTTTTCAGGGCACTTGGAGGACCTTGCGTGGGGGGGGGGGAGTGTAGGCGAATGCCCCCCCCCCAGACATGCTCACGTCAAGCGTCTTACGCGTTGGTTACACATATTCTGAAGAATCAACAGTTCGAGCTATGGTCGAAGTAAGTGCCCACATATAATCCATTTACCCGCTATATGGTCTGAGCTATTCTGGTCGCCTTCTAGAGCAGGTGACTTCCCCTTTTCGACAGCCCTTTTAGTTTTGGTCACACTACCTTTCGTTCGGCCGAAAACTAGTACAATCGAGTTATCCGAGCTATAGTTTTTCTCAGGGAGGAATAGCAAGTGCCCTGTCGCTATGCGGAGAGCCCAAATAAATCCAGCATTTGTCCGGTCGTCGTCTTCCTTTGGGCTATTGTCGGGACGCCCTGGGGGGGGGGAGGTAGGGTGTTATCCCGGAGTTGATCGCGGTCCTCCTAGACTCAGTCCAGATACCGATACCCCCCCCGAACTCCCAAAAACGCTCGCAATACCCCACATGTCTGTTCTGATCGCTCAACTACACTCAATGGTGTAGGTAGTGCAGACCAGTTTGCTTCGCGTGCACTCTTTAGGGAGTCCTATTATAAGCTCCAGATGTCCGCTTCGGTCGTTTGGGAGCCTTTCTTGTAACTAGCCCGCCCCTAATTATGATTAGTCTTTGTTAGAATCGTAATCAATAAACATTGTAGGGATCAAATATCGATCCACACATTACACATGGCATCGAGGCATTTCACTCGGAAATGTGTGGTATGAACCACATAACAATCGATCATCCTACTTTCGAATGCGTTTATAGGACGGCATATTTTGAGACACGTGTTGTATGAACGATAGCACCGTGCATGCATCTGCTGTGCAGAAGAATTTGCTTTCTAAACGCAATAAGCAGCTGGGGTGACCGCGACGCGAACGCTCGCCCACTTGTCATCATTTGTGAACAACTCAGTGATGGCTGTAATTGATCGATTACCGGACAAAGGAGGCGATAGACAGATGGTCTATGCCTTTAACACCAGCAAATCAACACTGATCATGTTTTCTGGAAAAATTCACAGGCTTTATACAAAATCGAACAAAACGAGATCGACAATGGCATACTCAACGGGAGCGATGCAGCGATTGTACAGAAATTACGAGGGAAAAAGGCACAAAGGAAAGTTCAAGCTGTTATAATCAGTCACATAAATAACTTTAACACAAACTGGTGAGCGGGGTCGATTTCAAATGGACACATACGTGGGCGAAAACACATAGCAATGGGAAAGAATAGCCAAGTTGAAGCGGTTGCAGCGGTTGCCCTCGTTTCACACCGACTTTTTCCACACGTATCACGGCGTTTCAACGTTGAAGACTTCAGTTTTTTCGAGCCTGACTCGCCAGCTTCTTCATCGCTTCTTCTTCTCTGCTGGACGGTTCGACTTCGAATTTTTGCTTCGAATCGCCGTAACCAGACTGTAGCACCGGCTCGGGGCAATGATCACAGACCAGTCCACTACCAGGGTGGTCCAGGTGGTCCCACGGCTCCCGGAGCGCCCGAGATACCAGGAACTCCGTCCATACCCGGATTTCCCGGCAAGAATCCGGGTGGTCCTCTTTGGCCTTGTTGTCCTGGCTGACCGGGCCGTCCCGGGAGCCCTGGAGGACCAGGTGGACCGGGTGGACCTGGCTCTCCTACAACTGCGATCTCTTGAGCGTATCCTAGATCACCAGGAGCGCCTCTCGGCCCAGGAGCTCCTTGAACACCAGGCATTCCTGAAAAATAAAAGTTCTACGGAGCTCTTATCTAGATGAAAATTGTTTGTAAGTACCTTGATCTCCAGGGGGACCGGGTACACCAACTGGGGTGTGACCATGTTCTCCAGGGGAACCTGGAAGTCCTGGACGTCCTTTGTTGCCCGGTGGCCCTGGCGGTCCCTGCTGGGCTTTTTGACAGATCCAACACGGCTCGCGTTCGTTTTCGGGGATACCTAAATAGCCAAGGGTTTGCCCTAACCCCTTTTCCCTCAACGAATGAGCTTACCATCTTTTCCTGGAGCTCCTGGAGCACCATTGGCGCCGTCGATGCCGTCAGCGCCATCGAGACCTGGCCTGCCCGGGGCCCCATCCACGCATATCTGTGTTCCAGTGTTAACAGCTGAAATTCAACTAGATATGAACGACTGATTTCTTAGATGGCACCGAAAATCCTACCGTAACCGCGCTTCACCACACGAGCGACGCTGCCATGATTGCTTGCACGCTTTTCCCTTAGCGAAGGTGACACATTGAGCTGAAAATCAATAAATAAGAAATACTTCATAGTAAAAAAAGTATACAATTAAGCATATGTCAGTAGACTGTGGTAGCTAGCATTTCCATGCTGTGTGCTTAATTCTGGAGCAA